ACTCAAAATAGAGAGATACTAAATAAGGTCATTGAGTGGACATAAGAGGAGGAAGTAAGTGCAGATTATGAGAATATGTAGGACAGACAACAGATGACCCTAAGAGGTTAACATTGTAGTTCTGAGAGTCTGTTCCACAAAGTAGCAGTTCATGGAAAGAAGCTGTCTGAGAACCTCCTGCTTACCAATACAAAAGGAATGAGGATGATTCAGCTCTGTGGATGTGGCATGGCAAGTCCTAGCTGTATAGGTCAAGATTGATGGAACTAAGGAATGTAGCTAATCTGAACATTTGCTATGTGAATAGCGATAGACTTGTACTGTGTCATCTGTGAGGAAGTGGTGTAAGGTTGGAAACAATTCAACCCCTCATAAACAATTTTGAACTCAAAAGTTAGAGTTGTCAAAGTTAGAAAGTGAACAATGGGGCAGTACCGTCCCAGATATGGCAGCAACATTCCATTATAGTGGAAATGGTAATAAAGTATAAAGAAAAAGTACAAGTAATAATAATACTAACAGTTGTAGAAATAATAGAAATTGAAATAATGCTGACTTTAATAATACCAATGAATTATTTTAATTAAAAGTCAACAGCAATCTGGATCATAGTCATTGTAAACTTTATGATCCTTTTACAAGTTGCATGATGTGCTTTGTCATGGCTACATATGGTTTTGAATTCAGAATTGTACTTCTAGCATGGTTACCACCCAACGCTGAAGAGCCCAGTCTGGCCTACTACTTAACTCATTGCCGATGGATTTATACAAAGGTAATTGCAGTTTGCATTTTAAATTTTAATGTTTATTATGGAATAAACTATTATTAATTATGTTTGTGTAATATATCATGTTAAAGTACAAATTTTGATCTCTTGACAGGCTGAATGTTTTGTTTTCACTGTTTATTATTGCTTAGTTTAAACCAGTGATTCTTGGTATGGGCAGTGATGTCACCTTGGGAGCACTGTGAACTCTCTAGAGAGCAGTAAGTATGCAGAAGGGTTAGGAGGTTCAACACAATTTTAACAGGGCAGTAAAATGATTTAATCCTCTGAACCCTGATTGAGAGAAGTCAAAACATTTTACACACGCACTTGTTTTTCTTTTCACCTACATGTTTTCATTTTTAGACATATTTTAAATACGCAAATGCATTTTGTGCATGGAGTAAAAACTTGCAAAAAAAAAAAAAAAAAAAAAATGTCTTGCTTAATAACTACTAGTTTGCTGTTCACACTACAGCTTTCTCCCGATGACTGATTTTGCTATAATGCAACAAAATGTAAATGAATGCTTGACATTAACTTTGTTGCATTTACTATCCCAAAAGAATTATTTCCTGATCATTAAATCTTAACCAGTTCAAGTCTAGGGTTAACCATTATCTTCCCCACATACACCCATAAACTGTGCCTCTTAACCCGTAAACCTCTATCTTGACTCGGTCTTGGGCCTTGTTCAGGGTAAACATCATTGTAAAAGAAAAAAAATATAAATTAAGAGCACCAACCCATGTAAAACACTCAAAAGAGGAACTGGAAAAGAAAAGGTTCAGACTATCAAAGTAAAGATGGAAAATGTTTTTGAAAAGTTGATTGGAAAGAAAGAGGCCAGAAGAGAGTTCCACAAGCAAGAAGTGCAAGAAAAGAAACTGTTAGCATGGAACTTAGAGTTATATCTAGCCATTTCAACTGATGAGACCTTGCCACCAATCTAGTACTGTGCTTAAATTCATAAAGTCTAGGTACAAAATAGGAAAGCTCATCAGAACAATGACCATAAAAATAGTTATATAGAAGGGCACAGGGAAGCTACATTATGGCAGTGGGAAAATGATTGAAGTTGAGAAACCAAACAAGTCTGTAGAAACTGAACAAAAATGAATTACAAAATTACCTCATCCAGTTTTCTCACCAGATATGTTTCCGACCAATAACCACTTTTTCTAGCATCTTGACAATTTCTTACAGAATATAGACTAAACAAGCAGCAACTCAAAACGTATCCAAAGAATCCATACTTTTGTTTACTGTTGGCAACAATGTATAGATTTTAATGGTTCTTATTTTGATTAATAAATTTTATTTTGAGACATACTGCGTTAAAATTGGATAAAAACTACAATTATTTTTATACTAACAACAACGCAAAAAAAAATAAAATAAAAATTAGCCATTTCCTTATATGGAAACATTTGACATTCATTGACCAGGCAGAAAACAACTTTTGATTGAAATTTATTAAAATCTTTCTATTAAAACAATTTTTCAGGGAAAGAGATTTCTGTTATTGCTCTATCATTGATAGTGGGGATTTGCTTCCTAACCTTTTGTTTGAATTAGTGTGGAACATCAACATTTTGATTATTCCACTATTTTCTCTTTGAGTTACATGTAATAACCATTTTAGTTGTTAAAAGTCTTCAGGTAATTTGGTTTCTGTTATCTCATAAAATTCTTTGTTACTGATTCTGTAGCACCAGTCCCTGAAGTTCAAATAAAGACAGTCCTCCAAGATCTACAGTCTTCTTTTGCTCGGTCATTTTTCCATTTTCCATTTTTCTCAGTTCAGTGGTTAAACACTGAACTGAGAAAAATGGATGTAAACAGTCGACAGTTTAGACATTTCTGAACCAGTTGGGTGCTATGCATGGTATCCATATGAAAGTCTCAATCTGACAAGGCTATTTAAAAACAAAACTTAAGTTCTTAGGTTAATGTTTTGTTTTTTTAGTATCTTGCAGTGTTAGACAAAACTAGCTCAACCTATTCTATGTTCAGTTTCTTTATTTCCTATATTAAATGTTATATATAAAAAAAAGCAGTAATTATAATGTAGTGAAAGTGTTAGGTACAATCATTGTCATATTATTAACTGAACTTTATGACATTTCATTATTAATATTACTTTTTTTTCCACTGAATTCTTTTTTGAAGCTTCTCAATTGCCGTAATCTTATTGTTAATTTCACTCAAAGGTGTTTTCTGTTGCCATAGCAGGATATGACAACACAACTATGAAATTCAAACAAATTCAGGGATCAGAGTCACCTTCAGTGGCAGAATAAACTTTTTGTACAACAAATGAAGTCACATACAGAGTGATAAAGGTTAATTATACAAGTCACATTTACCCAATTTGCCAAATAGAAATACAGGATATCCTGTTCAAACTTAAATGATTTCCATAATATATTTTTAGTACATAAGTTTATCTATACAGTAATATTTTATTTCTACCTATGTATGAATATGCAAATTGGAAATCATTTGAAGAGGGTGTCTTATTTGACAAATATGGCAACCTAACAAAAGTAAAGGGAGAAGCAAAATAATATTAACACAACTACTGTTGGTAGGAACAGCAGCAATTGCAACAATAATAATAATAAAAATTAGAGAAGCTAACAGGGGCTAGGGAAATACCCACCCCAAAATTCCTTCAACCTGTTGTGAAAATGATTAACTAATTTTAGAGTGCAAATTGTTACTCACTGCAACCGCACCCTGACTTAAAGGCCCTCCCCAATCAAAACACTATGACGACACCCCTGGCAAAACAGAATACTCTTTCTAAGCTTCATAATAATAACAAAACTGTTGAGAGAAAAAAAAAAAAAAGTAAAAAGTTAAATAATGCTAACAATGAACAAAATAAATGAAAAATTCTTTCTTCTAACAAATATTTTATGAATGGAATAAATAACCTTTGAAAACAAATCAAAAAGAAAAATGTAAAAAAAAAAAAGTAAAAAACAATAATGTCTAAGGTGTGGAAAGCAACAACAAAAGAAACCCTTAGTTTCCTTTTCTTTTTATTTATAAAGAGAAAAGACACACACATTTATGATCTATGAAAACATGATATTAAAAACAAATAGCAAATCTTTAGCAAACTTAAAATGTCTGACTTTCTATAAGAAGCAACAATACACATGTAGTTGGTGTAGAAAAGCAATGTCATGTGGTTCTGAGTTGTATGGTTGAGATGGAGGTAATTAATAGTTTTAATAGACATAAGTCTGAAGCCAAATAGAAACTTCATTTCTCATTGTCTAAAAATGATAACTGCCATTTTGAATGAGTAGTTCAAATAATGGTTAAGTGCAAAACAGAATCAGCCACTCTGATTGGTCAAAAAACACCAATAGAAGAAAGAAATAAACAAATTCTAATTAGTCAAAATTCATACAGAGGATTGAATAAGAAAGACCATCAACAAACTACAAGTGACTGATATTTTCATGTTTTGTGAATGAAGAAAAACTATGGATTAATGTACAATGAGCTTTATTTGCAAAATGGTGTCAAAGTTTAGAAGATTACAATATAAGAACTTATTTTCAGATTTGTTAATCATATTCAGAAAAAGAAAAAAGATGCCACCACAAAAGTATTCTTTAATTTTCAATGTTTATTTAATTGTCCCCAATAATTATGTCCCTTTTCTGAAATCAGAAAGCAATAAATTTGCAATTTAAACAGGAAACTACTGACAGAAATTTCCATCATCTACTGTCAATGCATCAATTTCTAGCTTTCTGAACATAAGACTTAATTGAATTTTTATTATCATTATTAATTTCTAAATAAGTAATATAAATTTGATACCCGTTTAAAACAGTGGAGAACTTAGAGAGGGGAATTAACAGGAGATAACTGATAACTGACATCCATCAAACATGGCACGTGGAATTAGAACAGTCTACCCCAGTGAGTGAAATAAAGGGTTTGGTTCGACATTCCAATCACCTGAAGAAGGCCGGAGCATACAACGACCGAAACGTTGTGATAGATATGGTGAAAAAGATGAGGGCAATGGTCTGAATAATGTAAATAATGAAGATAATCCTAATATTAAAATATTAATTTTGAAATAATTCTTATTGCAAGAGTTCTATTGAGAAAAAGATTATGATTTTGTTTTCTTTCACAAACCAGCAAATTACATGTATTCCCTCTCAATGCAACAGAGAAACACTTTTTTACAACTTACCTGTCAAATAATTGTTGACACTGCCAGACGCCAAAATAAGGTATTGCAACAAGTGTCGGGCGCTGGTTGTTTTTCCACTGCCACTTCGGCCAAGCAACAATATCGACTGGTCAATCCTGTTGCTCAGGAGTTCTCTGTGTGCATGTTGTGCCACAGCATAGATATGTGGAGGCATATCTTCTTGCTTGCATCCCCGGAACATGTGCACAACCTGCAAAAAGACAAAATAGTTGTTTTTCAAAAGATAAATGAAAACAAATTCTTTTTCTATCTCAGAATGTTATAAAAACAAAAAAACAGTTGGTCACAACACGTATATGTCTGCTATTGTCTAATATCTAACAGGGTAGAACGTAATATATTTAATTAATATATCATTATAGCTAATGCCTAAACTTAATACTGTGACATTGTATTTTAGCTATATTCATCAATTCATTTTTCCACAGCCCTTCAACCATTTCTTGGTTATTTAAAGTGGAAACAGATTTTGAACTGTAAGAACAATTTTTTTTTTTGTGAGTGAATATTGCATTAACAATGAGAATAAGACAGAAGTCTTAATATTTAAGCTGGAGGGAGGAGATGGATATTTTAGCTAAAAATCAAAAATGTTCTTTTTATGCTTAGTAGCTGTTTTTACATTATTTACATGCAGATTATTTTAAGACATTTTTATGTTTATACGTTCTTTTTATAGATACAAATATTTAAACAAATGCTCTGTTTATAATAAACAGTATTAATAAATCAAATCTGTATCCTATATGGAACCGGCATATAGTCTGATGTGCCTTTACCGATTGAGCCACAGAGGATCATTCGATTAGCAAGGTCGATTTTCCTGCTTTTAAACTACAATCTTCCATTAATCTCTCACGTACATTCATATCTGCTCAATGTGTATCCAAATGTAAACAAATGACGTCACAGATACAAATATTTAAGTAAATGCTCCATTTTATAATAAACAGTATTAACGACATTTACTGGCCTGAACAATCCTCTGTGGCCCGATCGGTCAAGGCACGTCAGGCTATATGATGGTTCCATATAGGATACAGGTTTGATCCCTGTCAGAGGACGAATATTTTCTCTGAAAATTTCTTGGACATTCAGGCTGGTAAATGTTGTTAATACAGTTTATTATAAAATAGAGCATTTACTTAAATATTTGTATCTATAAAAAGAATGTATAAACATAAAAATGTCATAAAATAATTGTCGGACTTTGTCCATTACATAATGTGTGCAGATTATTGTTTCATCTTTGTTGTTGTTATCATGTTTCAGCCATTGTACCCTCCGACCTTCATCAGGTGTTTGTCAGTGCTAACTTTTAAAGAACTTTGAATGGAATCATTTATTTTATGTACAGTTGAGGTGATGGGGGTTTTAGATTGTTCTCATTCTTTTGCTCATGTCTAGAGATATCTTATCTAATTCTTATTTCGTAGTGCTCAGTTATTGGTTGTCCTATTTCCACCAAGCCCAAGTACACATTACCTGGCTCAGGGATTGAACTCACAATAACTATATCACCAAATTAACAAACCAATTCTGTAATCCACTAGGCTATTGATAACATCCCAGAAATTCAGACAGAATTTTAGTAGCCAGTTGACTTTTTAAAGTTTCCAAGTTCCTTCTCTTGTACTTTTCACTTATGAAACGCTCTTCCAGACTTTTATTTTCCAGTTAATTTTGGTCTTCAAAAATTTAAATATCAATTGTTATTCTTTTGTCTTAATTCCTGCTCTTTTATTCTCATCACTCCTTAATGTTTTTCTTTTTTTCATATTTTTTCACACTCAGTAACCTCTTGCATCTTAGTGGCTATATTGTTTTGCTTAGGGTGAAGTGATTTTTTTAAAGAAAAAAAAGAAAAGTTAAACAGCCTAAACATGTAGTAATTAAAAAAAAATATATATACATGCTGTGAGCTTTGTTACAAAAAAAGGTCTAAATGGTTTTACACCACATATCTTAATGAATTTATAACAAAATAAATACTTACTGCTTAATCAAACTGAGAGTCAGAAAAGAAATGCTTTTCCACAAATGGTGTAACACATATGCAAGTTGAACAAGGAATGACAAAATAAATCTGTTCACATTATCATTGTCGACTTTGCCGTCTAAATGTAGCAGATTTACTGAATTGATTATTTAGTCATAGCAAGTTTTATAGCAAACAGAAATGAATCATAATATTTTCAATAATTAAACTTTTCCACTTAAAGTTATAACAAGACAAAACTAATGAAAAATTGAAATTCCATAAAACTTACTGCTAAATAAAGAATAAATGCTGATTCTCATTTACTTTAAAATCAAATTTGATATTTAAGAAACATTAATATAAGTATTTCTGTTTTTCTTTTAAATAGAAGTTTTCATCTTCTGGAAAAGTATATTCCCTATAAATAATATACAGGAAGTAAAATTGAAATATATATATATATATATATATATATATATATATATATATATATATATATATTACACACTTTACAGAATAAGTGCGTAATCAATCTGGGATTTTCTTCATTATGCGCCTTAAACTGACATCTTCAATGACCCAATTGAAAACTGCTCCACTGAGGTTTCTTTTTGAGTCAAAGCCAGCATAGGCCTTTTCATCGCTTCTTAGAAATACCAGGTGAAACTGCAATACTCTACATGGTTCACACCAGCATGCACAGCCGGCATAGCACACAGGAACCACTACTTCCAGTTATACCAGCATGACAGCTCTCATCATAACAGGTGCCTATTTGCTACTACTTATAACAAATGTAAGCGAGTCCTCAAAGAAGCTAAGTCCCTGTTTGCTGAGAGAATGAGGCATCACATAGCCTCTGAAACCTTTGGCTCTCATGAGTACTAAATAAGTGCAAGGTTTCTATTCCTCTCCTCTTCAATCGATTTGAGCTGTTATCATCCTCTGCTGATAAAGCTGAATGCTTTGCCTGTAAATTTTCCTCTTGACTCATCTGTAGTATATCCACCTAACTTCCCATTTAGAACTGATTCTCTGGTAAGTGATATACATATTACCCCTTCCGTGATTTCTGCTCTCATCTCTAACCTAGATTCCCACAAAGCATGTGGACCTGATGGCATCCCTGTGATAGTCATTAAGAAGTTTGCTCCCAAACTAGCTCCTGTCCTCGCTAAATTGTATCATAAATGCCTTGCTGGCTACTGCTTTCCTGTTTGCTGGAAGTCATCATCTGTTGTCTCAGTTCTTAAGAACTCTGGTGGACCATCCGACCCATCCAACTATCAACCTATCAGCCTTTTACCTCTTTTTGGGGGGAAACTCCTAGAGGCCCTAATCAATGATGAATTAGTTCATCATATCAGGGCCAACAAAATTGCTGTCTAAATAACCCAATTCAAATTACACAATTAAACAGCTGCAAAAGAAACTGAGACCATAAACTTAAAAAAACAACTCCTTGAAAGATAAAATGCAAGGAAAAAGATGAAAAGCACAAAAAACAATGCATATAGTCACAACATTATCAACAAAAACTCTATAATAATTGAATTATGAAAGCTGAAAGCACTCAGACACTGAATAATTTATATTCAAATTTTCACTGAAAATAAGGAAAATAATCCAATATATAGAAGAAAAAAATATCTTTAAAGAACTTTTGTTGGTCTTTAACCAAACCTGTATAAACATAAATATGTATGGAGATATAATTACATTTGGAGGTGCTGACAAGTTATATGTTAGATTTTTTATGCAAATCAAATAAAGTTGATCTGAAAGCATTAATCAGGACTATTTTTGTTTAATAATTTCACCCTAAGCAAGGCAATAAAGCCATTAAAACACAAGGGATTACCGAGTGCAAAAGAATATTAGAAAAAGAAAAACATTAAGGAAAGAGAAAAAAAAAAGAACAAGAATTAATAAGACAGAAGATAACAATTGACATTGCATTTAAATTTTTATAATAGATAAAACATGGCACTGATTAGAAGAATCAATCTTTGATGTTAATTAATTCACTACTTTTTAGGTAAAGTTGGATGGAAATAAAAAGATGTGAATTGGCATAGATAAGAACAGACCGAGATAGATATGAATTTACTGAGATAAGAAAAAGCGATAAGAATAGACCGAGATAGACATAGATAGACAGATAAGAACAGAGCGAGATAGATAGACATGAACAGTGTGATAGATAAATATATAGATAAATATGAACAGACTAATAAATTGTTTACTAACCAGTTATTTACTAACACCTGATGTATTTATACACATCAAAACATGTTTGCATTTGTGTAGTGTTTTTCCACATTTTTGATATAATATCCTAAAATAAAGTGAATGGAAAATAATAAGCCGGGAGAGAGTTCCACAAGCAAGAAGTGCAAGAGAAAAAACTATGTAGTGGATGTGGTAAATTATTCTCACCATATCATTGAAGCCACTCCTTTTGTCAGGTTGGCTGCATGAAGAGGAATTGCTGTATTACAAGATGGAACCCTTACACAATATCCTGGTCTCTTTTGAAAACCAGCTTCCTTCAGTCTGTCCAGTGTTCCTTCATATCAAGCATTAACTGTCAAAACATACAGTATCCAGTTTCACAAGCAGCATATCTTTTGCATCACTGAGCACAGTTGTCACATATTTCTTTGGCAATTGCTGAACTTTTTGTTTTTTCTTTTTTCTTTGAGGAAAAGGTGGCAATGAATGCTTCCAGATCATGGAATCAACCTTGTTTTCATCATAATATAATCTATTTTGAACCCTTAATATTACCCAGGAGGCACTTCCACACAGATGATGCTGTTTTTGCAGTGTGGATCCAATTGCTAAATGTTACATTCTTCAAGAAGGAAATTTATGCACTTGTGCACAGATGGGCAAAGTGTATCAATGTCAAATATATAGAAAATAAAAAAGGGTGCTGGTAACATATGCATGATACTTTGTTTTTTATAGAAAATATGTTAGATTAGTAAATATTTGTATCTTACTTTTAGCACATATCCTTAGTGTGTGTGTGTGTGTGTGTGTGTGTGTGAATATATATATATATATATATATATATATATATATATATATATTTTCTCTCTATTGCTCACTTACTTTCTGGTTTTGCTTAATGGCTAAGATCATTGTAGTTGTGTTATATTATACATCATAGTCATTTATGTACTTGTAAAATCAAGAATTTT